GCACATAAGGAGGAAGAGGAAGAGATTTACTTTTGTCATATGTTTCAAACCCTTGAAATCGGAGAGAAAGTGACATTAGGCATGAAAGAAGAAAGGACTTCTTCTCTAGTATCTCTGTTTACCGGAGTAGCCATATCGATAAGCTCTCTGAGTGAACTGCATCTAGACAAAGAGTTACTTCTTTCTCCTCTTGAGACTTCAGTTCTGTGTAGCTCAGCGACACAAACTGAGAATGCTTGTAAAGCTGAGAGCTTCGCGTGGAAGTTGACCACGTAATGTCCTTCTCTGATTAACGCCATTGTCATTGCTGGTATATTCTCTTTCCCGCCCTGAAACAACAATGTTTTACAATCTCAAGATCAAGAGAGACAAGTTGGATCAAAATTTGGTACCATAAGGGAAACAATCTTACCTCTATGAAAAGTTCCAAACCGTGGCGATTGTTGATGAGTTCTGGTTCTTCTGCAAAACAGGTTTCCGGAGATTCTAGGACAAAAAGGTGACAACCCATGTCCCATCCGCTACAATCACAGCCTCCACCTGATCTCCATCTCTGCAGTATCGGTGTAGGACATGAGTTTTCGGTATCAGGCAAACCGTGGTTTCCTGCTGGAACTATAACTTTCATCTCTCGTCTAGAGAGTTTACAGTTCTTCATGTACATAAAACTGTCATTGCTCGAACAAGAGTCTCTTATAACAATGGCTGCAATCTCTAAGCCTGGATGTAAAGTTGAGGCCGGCCAAGGATCAGATACACTAGTCTCTGAATGTTTTGATAGACTACGTGACAATCCTCGGCTGAAACTGTTTTCTTGTTGTAGGTTCGAGTCAAATGAGCCATCGAATACTCTGTTCGCTGTCTCTGAATATATCGACTGACTCGGGTCCAATCCTCGTCTGAAACTGTTCTGTCTCGACAGTTTTTCATGCTTGAAGCCACTTCTCCTAGCTCGTGCAATGTCAAAAAGAACGAATTCCGACAAAGTTGATTCCACAGGATCTTCATATGGTTCTGCCTCTAAGCAGATTTGAGTTGAAACTTGCATCTGTCCTATTAATGAAGATTCTATACCTGAAACATTAGACCGCTGTTCACCAAGGTTTTTATTGCTTCTACCACCAATGTAGCGAAACGAATAGACAAACCGAGATTCATTATCATCTATCCGTGTACTGGCCATATACACATCATCCGGGCGGTCTAGCGAGAAGGTGAAAACAGGCATCCCAAGTTCATATTGCATACTTAGATGGGCATGTAGATGAACAGGTGAAGACTTTCTAAAGGACTTGTTCCTTGAGAGCATTGCACCGCCATTGACCTTGATTTCTCCTGATTTTGGTATCAGAGGATTCCGATTTGAAAATGGATTCGACATTTTCTTGATACGGCTAAACCAGCTCGTTGAGCTTGAATTATCCGTAGAAGTAGACTGATTGCTTCCCTTTGAAGAAGACATAAACGATGGAAATTGCATTCGAGCAGAAACCGACTTTTGCAATCTTGGTTCCATGTTTCTCTCTGAACCTAAAGGCTTAGCTGATCTTTGTAGTTGTTGTTGTTTTCCATGTGTGTTCAACCGTACCCCGAAAAACCCACCGGAAGAATATTGTTCCACTGAGAACTTTTCAGCATCTGATATATTCCTTCTGCTTCTTTCCTTGGATCCTTGATTGAAGAAACCATGTCTCTCCTTTGCCTTGTTTCCCATTTTTGTAGGCCTCGGTGGAACCCGGCAGAACATAAACTCATCCTCTTCCCCTGGCTTTTGGGAATTGAAGTAATCACGTAGAGTAGGAATAACGTTTTCAGAACTCTGTGCCATCATTTGCTGCTTCTTTACAATTAACAAATCTCTATTACCATCAGACAAAGCCAAACTTCTGCAGAAGATTCGTAAGAAGGCATCAGTATTGTATTACCAGTTCTATCGACAGTTATGGAGAAAAACAAGAAGCCTTTGATGATCATGATGCATAAGAGAAGAGAAGCTAGCAACCCGAGAAAGCAAATTAACACAAAGGATCACTTACCAGTCACTTATGCAATTCCTTGAGGAAACTGTCACTGTTCATGAACCTTTTACACAGAGGGAGTTAAAATTGCAAAATCTTGATAGAGAATTCAAACACGCTCTTACAGATCTAAAGGAAGGCCCCATGGAAACATAGGAATCAAGTTGTTGTGAATGTAATGAAAGCAACAGAGAAAAAGTTGTGCAAAAGATCATTATAAAAGGCAAAGCTTTATTTCACTTGCACTCTAAGCCAATCATAGAAAGGGTGTGGGAAAAGAAACAATCAAATACCAATTGATGGTTTCAGAGTAGTGATCCTCAAGAGTAGTGAAAAAGTAAGCAGATGCATTCATTAGTCCAACAAAAAGCAAAAGGAGAAAGATTATCCAAAGCAGAAGAGAGAGCCTGTGAAACTAAATAGTTAATTATTATCCACATATTTAAGATTTTAGCTATAGAACTAATCTATTGCCTCAGATTTTCCTTGTAATCCCTCTCAATACTTTCAGGTGGGAAAAAAACAAAAAAAAAGTATACTTTTTAATTGAAGAAGCTTACATGAAACAGGAAAGGTATAGTTGCAAATTAAATCTCGCAATTATCGAATCAATCTACTAACATTCAGCGACAATGTAGTTTACAAATGCAGACAGATATAGTTGCAGTTTCAGGTCATATTTCCGGAGAAAGAGAGCAAAATCAAGGCAAAACATTTCGACAAGAACCTCAATAAGCTTCAGGGTCCATAGTGATTCTTGTCGGCGACTGGCGAGAGATG